GACATGAGCGGACAGACATAAGCAGACAGACATGACAGACATGAGCAGACAGACATGAGCAGACAGACATGAGCAGACAGACATGAGCGGACAGACATGAGCGGACAGACATAAGCAGACAGACATGACAGACATGAGCAGACAGACATGAGCAGACAGACATGAGCAGACAGACATGAGCGGACAGACATGAGCGGACAGACATAAGCAGACAGACATGACAGACATGAGCAGACAGACATGAGCAGACAGACATGAGCCTCGAAATATTTATGGGAATTATGCTGAATCAAGAACTTTTACATTTGGCTGGAAAATTCTCAATTGTCGCATTAGAACAGGAATCTTTCATCTGATCAATTCATGTTGAAGCGAGTGTTGTGGTAGTTTAGTTTCAACACTGAGAACATTTTCAACACTAGGAGCATTTCAACACAGGAAACATTTTCAACATGGGGAACATTTTCAACATCAGTTTTTAGGGCTTCTTTTAATGGCAAAGAATTTCTAATGGATGCTGAGTGCTCCATATGAAACGTCGTCTCATGACATGATGCAGAGGAGTCCATTAGTGGCTTGTCGACAGCTACAGAGACGTCGCCTCCATCAGGAGTGGACAAGTCACCTCTGCTGCTCTGGAAAGCAACATGAAACTTAATTAGAACTCAGTAATTCCCAAGCTTGTGTGATAATCTTTAGAGTAAATGACGTTCAAACAACATTGATTACGAGTTTTTTTTTGTTGACACAACGTTATATGGTATTATTGGTACCGTATTTTAAACATATTTATATATATACGGTACTTTATACTGTATTTTATACGGTATTTAATACAGCATTTCATACAGTATTTTATATGGTAATTTATACATTCATATATAAACGGTATTTTATATACAAAAAAATTGTTTGTTCCTCGTCAACATTGTTGCAACGTCAGATGCCTGGTGGAAAGATGCTTGTTTCACCTGGCCACTTGTGGCGACCAATACAACTTTGAAACAATAGCCGCCACTAATTACTGGCAGCTAGTATTTGCCACTAATTATCAAGCTAATGGCCTTGTGTAAAGGATTACTTGCTCCTTCTGTGGCCAGTAGCACCTAGAACACCAGGTCAATAGCGCCTTAAATAGTGGCGTTTAGTAACAACATCTGCAGTTTAAAATACAATAGCACCAGTTTAAAACATTATGAACAACAGTGGTTTGTAATATATTTTTTTAAGCAGGTCAGTTGTGGGGTCGAGTTGTATTGTAGGCAGGGCAGTTGTGGTTAATATGTAATAATAAAAAGTATACAATAGGTGTAATTATTGATACCAGGCTTGTGTTAGTTTGGTAATACTTCCTAGCAATAATAGGTCCTGAGTAATGAATTTTCATACATTGTCATTAAAATGCCCTGCCCAAAATGCATATTGATATTCATGAAGTGAATGGCCAAAATACATATTAATACTCATGATAAAGTCACAAATATATCCTGGTCCCAAAGAGTATCAAAAGACCCCTTGCAACTCAATATAACCCCCAACTTAATGTAACCCCCAACTCAATGTAACCCCCAACTCAATGTAACCCCCAACTCAATGTAACCCCCAACTCAATGTAACCCCCAACTCAATGTAACCCCAACTCAATGTAACCCTGCAAATCAATGTAACCCCAACTCAATGTAACCCTGCAAATCAATGTAACCCTGCAACACCCACTAATGACTAAAGTGAAGTGACCTCACCAACAAATGCTTGCTCTGAATATGGTGTTTAAGTTCCTCTTCTAAGTTGCTGGAGAATTTACACTTAAAACATCATAAAATTTTATGCTGTCCATGATGCGAAGAAATGTGGACAACAAGTTCGTCTTTTCTAGATGAGGAATAGTCGCACTCGCTGCAGGTGAAAGGCTTTGCAGTTGAATGCTTTGAATAGAAATGTCTCTTAAGGTTACAGGAAAATTTTGACACAAATTCACACAGAGGACATCTAAAAATTTCAAGAGGTCCATGCTGGGAAGAAAAGTGAATGAGAAGGTCGTGTGTTCCTGAGGTGATATAGTCGCAGTCAGGGCAAGTGAAATGCTTCGTGGTTGAGTGCTTGGAAAGGAAATGTCTTTGGAGACGTGAGGAAAACTTTGCCGTATATTTACAATCGGGGCATCGAAAAACCTTTTCCTCTTGATGTTCATTGGAGATATGTTTAATCAATGAGGTTATAGTTTGACTTGAATATTGACAGTGGGCGCAAGGTAGCAAGCCTCTACCTTTATTTAACTGGTATTTAGGTACGTGCTGCTCAAGTTCTGTACAGGCATAAGGCCTGCGGGCTCGTTTTTCTAAGGCTCTCCTAGCAAGAATGTAGCGCTTCATTGGGAAAGCAAAAGTTGTTTCATGGAAGACAGAAGAATTCGTTGGTGGCTTGTTGGTGGTTGCTGAAGAGACGTCAGCTTCAGCAGGCAAGTCCTGAAAAGTAAAACAAATAACTTTAGGCAGGCCATCAATAACTTTAGGCAGAAAGTATACACAAATAACTTTAGGCAGAAATTATATACAAATAACTTTAGGCAGAAATTATACACAAATAACTTTAGGCAGAAATTATATACAAATAACTTTAGGCAGAAATTATACACAAATAACTTTAGGCAGAAATTATACAAATAACTTTAGAATCTCTATCAGGGGTACATTGTACTTTACAAGTAATTCATACATTACAGGTAAAGTGAAGGGATGAAAGATTTAATCTCACTACAATTATCAATGCAAACAATATCTGTAAAATAGCTGAACTGCATAATATGACATGTTGAAATAGGGCATCCAGCTTATTGGGATAACTTAAATACAGGAACCTGCTGATTGTGAAATATTGAATAATTTATAATTAAATTTATTTGATTTAATTTTAACAAGCCATTTTTCCTGTTGAACAGGGCATGTTAAAATCTTTATTTAGACCTGGTGAACATGAGTCATAATTAACACACAATTTAAAAGAAACATTAAAATTCACTTGAAGCAACACTAATTTAACTAGCAGCGTTCAACTAGCAGTGTTTAACTAGCAGTGTTTAACTAGCAGTGTTCAAAACATATATTTTTTACAATAAAATCTGACTTCAGGTAATGAAAATCTTGGGTCATTGCGCGCATGCCATGAAGCTCTGTAGCTGAGCAGTGCTGCGTGCAGTGCAAATTTTAGCCAAGCAGTGCTAAACAGAATTTTCATTTCTAACAAGAAAAATTGTTTCATTGACACTAATACATTATTTTTTCAATAGGTATATTGAACAATATTTTTTATTTGCAGAGATAAATTGATATATGGGAAAAATAGTAAGTAAATTCTCAATAAACCAAGTTCTAGCATCCTATACTAATATATCAATATGGTGAACTAAGCACACATGATGAAATTATTTATTAGGTGAATTATATCAAGTTATCTTAATCACCCCAAGTTCTAGCATCCTATACTTTACTAATATATTGATACGGTGAACTAAGCAAACATAGTGACATTATTTGTTAGGTTTTAAGTCAAGTAATATTTATTATATATAAGTTTCTATTAGGTTATGTTTATCACGACCTATAATTCCAGCCTGGTTTGGCCCAAACCTGCTCTAAAACACAACCCTCACTCCCCGCAAGCAGGATAAGTGGGGATCATGAGCCCCAACATCTCCCCTGTTACAACACTCACTCCCCGCAAGCAGGATAAGTGGGGATCATGAGCCCCAACATCTCCCCCATTACAACCCTCACTTCCTGCAAGCAGGATAAGTGGGGATCATGAGCCCCAACATCTTCCCCGTTACAACCCTCACTCCCTGCAAGCAGGATAAGTGGGGATTGTGAGCCCCAACATCTCCCCCGTTACAACCCTCACTCCCGGCAAGCAGGATAAGTGGGGATCATGAGCCCCAACATCTCCCCCGTTACATGGCAAGATGTCTGGGGGTGGCGGGGATGGCTGTCCAACAGAAGACAGCAGGCCACGCTGAAATATAGTATTTATTCTTTAAATATATTCCTTTATATTTTCCCCATTGTATTATTTGTATCTTCCGTTCCAATATAAAAAAATTATCTCTTATCAAAATAATATCTAATATCAGTAAAAATAAATTCCATTTTATCTTCTATTTGTTCTATTCTAATTTTGATGATAAATAAATTTATACAAAGGCACAAATTCTTCAAATTAAATTTCCCTACTGTATTATTTGTATTTTCTGTTCTGATATGAAAAATAATAGCTCTATCTATCAAAATAATTGTTAATATATCTTAAAATAAATTCTATTTTATCTCCTATATCCTTTCTTCTAATTTTAATGAGAAATAATTTCATACAGAGGCACAAATTGCTTCAAATTAAATTTTTCCTATTGTATTATTTGTCTTTTCTTTTTTAATATCAAAAATAATATCTCTACCTAGCAAAATAATATCTAATATATCTTAAAATAAATTCTATTCTATCTACTATATCTTTTATAATAATTTTAATGAGATATAAGATTAGGTACAAAGGCACAAATACTATAGTATGAATTTACCAAATTAAATATTGTATATTTTTGGTTTCCTGATTGAAGTCTGAAGAGATGAATGCTAATTTAATTATAGTACTGATTAAACTTTAAGAAAACTTGGTAGTAACTTAAATGAAGAATTCAGTACATATATAAGAAAATTTATTATAAAATATAACATAATTTTGAACAGGACACATGTTTTTAAAAAATTGACAAAACCTACAAAGATAATTTGTGTAGAAATGTTTCAATAGTGGAGCTTAAATTAAAAACTATAATACTAAGTACTATATATACTATTTAAACCAGTGGTTCTCAATTTTTTTGTGGTACTGAACCTGCAAGTTCCATACATGCATTCATCAAACCCTTAGTAGGTGGAAAAATAAAATGTGTTTTATTTTTAATTCAAAAAATATATCTATGCTAAATAACTATATACCTACTGTATAAGTGCATGAGCTGCCATTTGCACACAAAATCACTTTGTTGAAAGAAAAATCTACACAACATAAATTTTGCACATAAACAACAACAAAATTAATATTCATTGCAAATCAATGTGACTTTTGTTGTTGCCTCAGTGCGCTAATTACAGGAATGCGCGGCTTCACCTTCGCAAGTGCCAATCTCATAACATTTTCACAACAAAGTTTGTTCCTTTTGTTTACATCATCAAAAAGGTCTGCTTGCAAAGATATGTTGTAACAAAGGGTATTCAGGGCTTTCTTAGCAATAAGAGGGTACGCTGCGATTTGGAGACACCAAAATGTTGATAACGTTGTTGTTCTGAAGAGTTGCTGTTGAACCTGGCTCTCCTGCAGTCCAATGATTTCATCCAGGAATTCATTATTCACATATGCCATCACAACACTAAACATGAACGGCTGTCTCACCTATGCTGGGTATGAGATTCTGGTGGGGAAGAATCTGTTGAGATACTTTGTGAACACATCTAAGTGCATGGCAATTGCTTACTTCAGTTCCCTGGGTACAGAAATGCATCTGATACCGGGCACGTCAAACTCCAGAAAACGACTCACCGAAACCCCGGGGTTTGATCAAACCCAGGTTATGAACCACTAGCTTAAACTAGGGTACAAAATTGAGGCAATTGAAGTATTAAAGTATTCAAATTAAAAACGTATTCAAGTATTTTAATTAAAAATTAAATTTTTTAATTCTGAAATTAGAGTATTTAAGGTATTTATCATTGATGTATTCAATTAAATAAAGTATTCTAATACTGTAAATATAATAAAAATTATCATGGAATTTTTACCTCATTGTCATCCCAAGATATCGGCTCCTCTTTCACAAAGAAATCCTCCACGTTATCAGACGTTTCCTCCTTCCATGCCTCAGGCTCCTCCCCTGCCTCAGGCTCCTTCCCTTCCTCAGGCTCCTCCTCTGCCTCAGGCTCCTCCCCTTCCTCAGGCTCCTCCCCTACCTCAGGCTCCTCCCCATCCTCAGGCTCCTCCCCTACCTCAGGCTCATCCCCTTCCTCAGGCTCCTCCCCTACCTCAGGTACCTCTTCAATGGCATTGGCAAAATTTGTCGTGACAGATGCCACAGAAGGAAAGAATGGCAAAGATTCCAGAAAGGATGTGGATGGCTCTGGTTGCACAGTGTTTGTAACCATCACAGGTTCCAAACTGCAAAAACTAAGAAGCTGATCACAAAATACTCTAAATTTGGGCAAAACATTTTCTCCACGACCTCCATAGGTCAATTTTCTGACCTTGTCATATTCTTTCATGAGAACATCCAATTCGTACCTAGGCACTGTCAACCCAAACTTCTTTTTGATCCAATCAATTGTTGGTTTGATGGACTTTCCATGTTCTAAGCAGAACCTGATAGCATGGCCTACACGTGGTATAATGTCCCCATGGTCTGACTCTGAGAGCTGGTCATAATTACGTAGCACTGACCAGGCTGGTCCAGTGCCAGCTCTGGGAGTTACTGGTTTTCTACGCTTGCATGACTTGGCAAGGCGCTTTTTTGTGTAACCTGGAAGAAAATATACAAAGTTAGTAATAAGTTGAGAGTGGTTAATAAGAATAATGATAATTCTTCCAATATATGAGAAATCTTATGCATTGTTTGAACATTTAAATCTGTTAACTATGCATATTAGATTAATATTGCTAACTTACCAATAAAGTCATGCAATGATGTAGTATGAAATAAATATAAAAAATAAATAAAGGGGTGGATGTGGCATGGGTCCATCAGAAGTCATGCCTCCAAGTGATAGGAACACCCCCCAGTTGTCACGCCATCCATTCCCCCCAGTAATAAACCTATTCCAAGAAACCCTATTGTAATAAAAATTTACATGGGAAATACAAATATCATATCAAAACATCAATATCATTAAATGCTGACTTGATGATTTCAATTTTTTAAAAGTCATGGTTGAAAAAGTCTCCAACACATAATAAACAAATTTACTCAATACTTTCTCATGTGACCTTTTGCAGCCAAAACTGCTTCTAACCGTTTGGATACACTTGTTCACAAGATTAACATATCTGCTGATAGGAATTTTAGTCCACTCTTCCTGGCATAATTCTTTCAATTGGATAAGATTTCTTGGATCTTTCTCCTGTACCCTCAATTTGAATTGTTTCTACAGATTTTCAATTGGATTGATGTGAAGTGATTGGCTTGGTCATTCCAATAACTCTATGTCCCTCTCCTGAAACCATGCAAGAGTTGCCCTAACCATGTGCTTATAGGGTCATTGTCTTGTTGGAATATCTAGCCTGGGCAAGTTCCAATTTTTCAGCTGACTTCACGAGACAACTCTCAAGAATGCCCAGATACATTTCGGAGTTCATCCTTTCTTCTATGATTTCCAATTACCCAGGGCCGGCCTAAGAGAAACAATCCCAAAGCATTATGCCGCCACCTCCAAAATTCACTGTTGGGGTTGTATTCTTTGGGTGGAACACAGAGTTATTCTGTCTTCAAACACAACTGACACAGTTCCAACCAAAAAACTCAATTTAAGTCTCATCTGACCATAATAGTTTCTCCCAAAAGCTTGAAGGTTTACTTATGTGTTCTTTAGCAAAGTCTCCATAGTTCTTTATGCAAAATTCCTTCAATAGAATGGTTGTTCTTGGAGACTGAGAGTGGAATCCTCTCTCTCAAAGAACTTTCCTAATTGTATTTTTGCAAACATTTGTCTCATTTGATTACACGTCTTTTTGCAGTTTAGAGCAAGTCAGTCAAGGATTATTCTGTACTTTTCAAACTAGACTCATAGCTGTATGGTCATAAATTTTATAGGACGCCCTGAAGGGGGCAGACTAGTCAAAAAATGGAATGATTTCCACCTCCAAACAGTATCACTATCATAATTGGGATAGGTACTTAACACAGATGAAATTTTTTATACCTGAAACTATCTCTGTGTAGCTGAATAATTTATTTTCTAGTTGATTCAGGCAATTATGCAGTTCTAGGCATTGTTGAAGAGTGTAAAATTTAGGCCACCTTCTAATGACGATGCCAGGTAATGAACAACTGCAGTTAGAAAGATGTCTAGGACGTTCTTTTGCATTCTAAAATATTCAAATGTTTTCCGATTCTAGAAGGACTCCCCCCAAACAAAATGGATGAGAAATTAATGGCAAATCGAATTTTTTTTCTAAGATGCGTTGAATACTTTTTGAAGTTTAACTTTAACAAAATTATAATTATCTAGTCAACATTTAATGATATTGTTGCTTTTATATGATATTTGTATTTCCCATGTAAATTTGCATTAGAATAAGGTTTGTGTATGTTATTTTGATGGATAAGCTTTAATTAAATAAGCTAAATAAATAATGTTTTTCTTTTGTGTTGGTTACTTTTTGCACTAACTGTTGGTAGGCTAATAATTATCTTGGTTAACAGCATTATGATACATAAGAAATCGATTAAAATATTGAGAACGGTATATGAGGAAATTAAAAATCAATTTATTCTATATAATCTGTGTTTTGCCACTACGCATCACAGGGACAAGTGGCTGCATAAAACAAATAGAACAGGTATGTGCCCAAAAAAATTTTTTCACTTGATCTTAATGAAAATTATATGTCTGGAAAGAGGAAAAAATTTTAAAAAATACTTTATGTATAAGTGGAATACAAATAAAATTAAAAAAGCTATGCATTTTCTTCCTATATACAATTACCTTACAAAAATGGGCCAATTTTTGGCACTTTTTTTGAGAAACTATCATTTTTAGGTTTCCAATGAGCCAATTTCAAAGATTTTAGCACCATTAGAAAGCTATTGTTGTAGGCTATCTATTATAACAAAAATAAAATATTTTGGCTGAGAATTTGACTGCAAGTGGGTGGGGGAAAACGGCTGTGACTGATAGATATGAGTGATATAAATTAACCAAAAGGCAGAAAAAAAACAGAATAAATTCCAGTTGCATGGTTGTGGCACCATAAGTGAGCTTAAAAAATGTGTGATTTACATATCCAGTGCAAGAAAGCATTGAAGATAAATGAATGGGGGGGAAAAGGGTTACCACCTATATAAAAATAGCTATAAAAAATCAATATTAAGAAATAACACAATAAAAATTGAAACTTGAACAATAACATTAATTATGCTTGAATGAGTGACAATGCCTTCTTAATTTTATGGTGGAGACATAATCATTATGTCATTATGGTAGAATTTACAGCCCCAGCTAATAAACCCATCATTAGCATGTGGTTTTTGGCAACTTATTTTAATTTAAATCAAAAAAATATTGACAGCTGATTGATTTAGGTTAATTAGCTTATTTTTCAAAAGGTTTATACATACCTACCAATGATGTCCTAGGAGAGGCGGGTGATAGCTGAGTGTCGAAGGTTGTGTTTGGGGAGAAGATGTGGACAATTGCAGAAGGCTTGGTAGCTGTTTGAGCAATAATTTCTTGACATGCAGGCTCAGTATCCGTGAATGCTGAGAGTTGAGATGAAGCAGCAGGAGTAACTGGCAAAGTTCTAAGCAGAACCTGATAGCATGGCCTACACGTGGTATAATGTCCCCATGGCCTGACTCTGAGGGCAGGTCATAATTACGTAGCACTGACCAGGCTGGTCCAGTGCCACCTCTGGGATTTAATGCTTTTCTACACTTGGGTGTCATGGCAGAGCACTTTTTGTGTAAACTGAAAAATGACAAAGTTAGTAGTAATTTGAGAATGAGAAAGGTTAATGAGAATGAGGAATCATATGTTTGGTTTGAACATCTCAATCTATTAACAAAAATAATATAGAAAAATATAGTATATATGTACATTTGTAGTAAATACATTTGTATATATAAACAAATGTAGTATAGATAAATATACAAATATAGAGGAATATATATTAGTATAGCATTGTAAACATGTAAGTTTTAGTATATATAAATAGTATAGACTGTATAGTATAGTATCTTTGGCATTAAAGAATAGGCCTGGATAGGCACTATCCAGGCCTACCGGTATTCTTTTTGCTTGTACTTTTCTTGACTAGACTGGCCTCTTGATCAAATCTTTTCAACGGATGGTAAGTTTAAAATCGCTTCTAGATTTCAGTTGTTCTGTAGGATAAGAGGCATTTCAAGACTAAAGACATGCTCCTGCAAGGCCTTGTCTAGTGATAGAAATTAAATAGTGTGATAAATAAGATAAATAAATAGTGATAGAAATTATTTAAATGCAATCTTACATCAATACTATTAGCATTAATACTAATTATCATACCTCAAAAGGCTTGCATGTTAATATTTACTTCATTAGTTTTTTAAATTACAGCCAGCTCAGGAGTAGAACTTTTAGTATTAGCTACCAGGTAGTTGCTGGAGACTAAGTAATGCAGGAGGGTTCATACATTCATTGATTCATTTGATTGTGCATTCATTAAATGATGGTAGCTTATTGGTAGGTAAATGATGGGTGAATGAAGCCATGAAAGGAAAATTGATGGATAAATGATGAAAAAATTATGTGTAAATGATGGGAAAATGATAGTTAAATCACTTAAATGATAAGTAAATAATAACAATTAACTTTAATACTAAATTCTAATAACAAATTTAAAGTAATAATAATTTTAAATGACAAATAATGATAATAATAGGTATAAAAATAAATTAACAATACTTGTATTTGTACTAGTAGTACTGCAATAACTGCATCACCAAACACCATCAGCAGGAGTCAGGATTTCATCTTCAGAAGTTACTGAGCTCCTGCTCATGGAGAGTTCACAAAAGTAATTTTTGTCTTCAAATCCTTCAAAATAATGCCCATTGACAAAATTTTTCTATGTCAAATAGTTTTTGAGTTTTGGGGTTTTTGTTAAAAAAACCAAAAGTGGTCAAAGTTACCCCAGT